AGATCAGACTGTGTGAGAGATCAGACTGTGTGAGATCAGACTGTGTGTGAGATCAGACTGTGTGAGAGATCAGACTGTGTGAGATCAGACTGTGTGTGAGATCAGACTGTGTGAGAGATCAGACTGTGTGAGATCAGACTGTGTGTGAGATCAGACTGACATGTGTTAGCTCAGACTGTGTGTGAGATCAGACTGACATGTGTTAGCTCAGACTGTGTGTGTTAGATCAGACTGACATGTGTGAGATCAGACTGTGTGTGAGATCAGACTGACATGTGTTAGCTCAGACTGTGTGTGAGATCAGACTGACATGTGTTAGCTCAGACTGTGTGTGTGAGATCAGACTATGTGAGAGATCAGACTGTGTGAGATCAGACTGTGTGTTAGATCAGACTGACATGTGTTAGCTCAGACTGTGTGTGAGATCAGACTGTGTGTGAGATCAGACTGTGTGATAGATCAGACTGTGTGTGAGATCAGACTGTGTGTGTTAGATCAGACTGACATGTGTTAGCTCAGACTGTGTGTGTTAGATCAGACTGTGTGAGAGATCAGACTGTGTGAGATAAGACTGTGTGTGTTAGATCAGACTGACGTGTGAGATCAGACTGTGTGTGTGAGATCAGACTGACGTGTGAGATCAGACTGTGTGTGAGATCAGACTGTGTGTGTTAGATCAGACTGACATGTGTTAGATCAGACTGTGTGTGTCTCCACAGCCCCGCCGTACATTAAAGAGGTGCGGAGCTCCGAGACGCCGGTGGGACAGACTGGAGTCCTGCACTGTGAGGCGTCTGCGGTTCCTCAGCCTGAGTTTGAGTGGTACAGAGACGAGCGCAGGTCAGTCACCCAGAGAACACAGATTATTCCCAGAACATTCCCAAAACATGCACGATAGAATGCAAATAGAATGTAATACAAATAGAATGTTCTTTTTGGTTTGCAGATCATTCCCCTAACTTTTAGCTAACATTCTGCTAACATTTCTCTAACCTCTGTTCTCAATATCATTTCCTCTGCGGTACGTCAGTAATCATGCAGCCCATACAGCAAAAAATATATATTTTCTAATGTTTTTTTAAATATATTTCAATATATTTTTTTAAATATATTTTAAATATATAAATATAGTTTTGAAGCATTTAAAAATATATTTTGCCCTCCATATATTTTAGTCCAAGAAAATACATTCACATTTCACATTTGAAGAAAAATCCAGTAACTTTATTTTTTTACACAAACACATTTGAATGTGTTGTCAGTGATGTGTGTGTGTGTGTTTATCAGACTGTCCAGCTCTCAGAGCGTCAGTATTCAGATCAGCGGCTCTCGCACGCTGCTGGTGGTCGCTAACGTCACAGAGAACGATTACGGAAACTACACGTGTGTCGCCACCAACAGACTGGGAATCCACAACGCCAGCGTGTTCCTCTACAGTGAGACACACACACTCACACACACGCACTCACACACACGCACACACACTCTCAAACACACACTCACATACACACGCACGGATGTAGTTCAGCATGTTGACTAGCAGATGGCGCAGTTTACCAACATGTACAGCTAACCGACTCCCTCTCTCTCTCTCTCTATCTCTCTCTCTCTCTCTCTCTCTGTCTCTCTCTCTCTTTTTCTCTCTCTCTCTCAGAACCTGGCACTGGGCGGGACATCAACGCCTCAGGCTGCGTCTGTCAATCATTCTGGCTCCTCCTCCTGTCTGTTCTCTCGGCTCTTCTGAAGTGTTAATGTTCATCGCAGACGCTCTGAACGCGATCGATCGTCTCAGACTGTTTCCATCCGTCCATCCACGCTCACCGTTACGCCCCGGCAGGACGACCGTCTTATTATCAGGAAAAAATATGACATGGAGAAAAGAAAGAAGGTGCTCTTTTTAAGACAAGAATATTGCCATTTAACCGGTTCAAGCACTTAATTCCAGTGACGCCCGTCTGTCCGACAGTCTGAGTGCATGTGTGTGATTTACCACAGAAACCCAGAGCGAAATCATCTAGAAAAATGGTTAATTTCATTGTGTTTTCCCATAATACCCTGCAGCCTGTTCCGGAATCTGCCTAATGTACACTAATGAAGGAGCGCTAGAATCACGTAAGGTCATTTAGATGTGGTTTAGGACTAATGACTAGCAGAAGGGACTGAAACACACAGTATTTTCTGCTGAATCTTCAGGCTGCTGCTACGTCGTTCATGAAGATTCTCTGAGATCAGAACAATCATGCGATGTTCGAGACACTCACAGCCGTCAGTGTTTGTGATGATCGATCAGAGAATCTGTTCACAGAGGCAGAACAGACCCGCCCCCGTAAACCCCTCCCACATGTGTAGCCCCACCCACTTAATAATAAACCCCTCCCACATGTGTAGACCCACACACGTAATCCTAAACCCCTCCCACATGTGTAGCCCCACCCACGTAATCCTAAACCCCTCCCACATGTGTAGCCCCACCCACGTAATACTAAACCCCTCCCACACCAGGCGGATCTGCAGGTGTTTCTTCAGGGTTCCTGTGAAAACCTGGATTATTGTGAAAAACAATTCTTCTGGAGGGAAACCTGTAGAATGCTGTGAAATGATTTTTACCGTGTTAAAGCGTGTGAGATTAGTCCAAATACACGCGTGACCCTTGTGTCCAGACCCTCGTCTTCTGCGTGTCTGTGAAATCGTATGAACTCTGAATTGTACGACACCAATGAATGCTTCGCTTCGATCCGCTGCTCATCCCGTCGCGTCCGTCGTCTGTAAATATTCTTTTGAATCGAATGTCCTCACATGGAAACGAAACAAATCTTCGGTTCAGGTCTCTTCATAAGTAGTTAGTTATCTGCGGTGGCGCTTTGATGCTTCCTGTAACAAACTGAAATTAGATACTAAACAAAAGATTTTTAATACAAATATTTAAATATCTCGTTCTAAAACTATATTTACCTTTGTAGCGCTGCACTACTATTCTTATTTATAGAGACTGATTTCTGTTCATTAGTTATTATAATAGTAGTTGTACAGAAATGAGCTGAATCCACTGTCTGCCAAACGATTATAGAAAACGATATAAAAAAACTATTTTAGAGATGATTTACACTGAATCCACACACACGCGTTCGTTTTCTTTGTCGCTGATTTTGTGAAGCGTCCGTCCCTGATTTTCTTTTTTACCAGTGTTATTTCTTTTGAAGTTCTCAAAGAGCAGGTTGTGTGTACGCATTCATATATTAAAGACATTTCAAAAGTATTATGAATCCCTCCTGAGCTCTTCAGCCCTTTGATTGACAGCTCTCTCAGCCAATAGGCTTTCAGCGTGTGAGCTCTGATGCCTTGATTGGATGAACCGGCGTGTGGCTCGGCGGCTGGGTTTTAAGGGCTAGTCGTGTGTCTCCTGTAGTCCGCAGCAGCTCTCGCTCGTGCCCTGAACACCGTTATTTGGGTTTGATCCGATCCAAAGTCAAGCGTCCTGAAGTCCGGATCAGGACTCGAGTGTTTTCTGTCTGAATGCAGCTTCACTGCAGTGTGTGTGTTTAACAGTTACACTCAATGAGGATCAGCTGACTTTAATTTCACCGTGTTTAGTGTGTGTGAGTGAGAGTGTGTGTGTGTGTGTGAGAGAGTGTGTGTGTGTGTGAGAGTGTGTGTGTGTGTGTGTCTAAAACTATATTTACCTTTGTAGCGCTGCACTACTATTCTTATTTATAGAGACTGATTTCTGTTCATTAGTTATTATAATAGTAGTTGTACAGAAATGAGCTGAATCCACTGACTGCCAAACGATTATAGAAAACGATATAAAAAAGCCATTTTAGAGATGATTTACAAACACACTGAATCCACGCACACACGCGTTCGTTTTCTTTGTCGTTGAAATCGTGAAGCGTCCGTCCCTGATTTTCTTTTTTACCAGTGTTATTTCTTTTGAAGTTCAATCGTGATGCTCTGTAACATGACAAGAAAACTGGACGCCGTGTTTTTGTCGATCCTCTTTTGCTACGGGACGCTGGAGTCTCTAGAAAGGGATTTTCCGGCTCGTTCAACTGAGATCTTCATGAAAAGCAATGAACATTTTCTAACTGTGTTTATTTACTCTAAAATTACCGCAGTCATTTTTTAAACCCTTCTGCACTGTAAAGAGCTCATGAAGTGTTTAAAATGGAAATAACGTCATTTGAATTTGATGTATTTGAAAGTTGGTTTAAGGAAAAAAAGATTGTAATTTTTGGTGAGAAAACGATGCTTATGAACTCTGTTAATCGTGTAACATGCAAATAAATGAATATAAAGATTGTTAGATCTCCCTTTAAATGGCTTTTATTGTGTTTTTTATTCTGTTTGAAACTAAGTCTCTACTTTTCAGACACGTCATGAATTCCTTCTCAGAAGTCATTTCATAGAATGATTAAAAGGTTTTTTAATAAGTCTTTACAAGTGCACTCATACATAACTGCACACACATGCATAAACGCCTACAAACACACACTTTAAAATACTTTAATTTACTACGAAAATCATGTTTACCACAGGACCCAACTATTTTATACATAAACATCTCACACACACCCAAAAAACATTTTTGTATTTAAAAAAAAAAATAAAGCAAATAAAAGCTTTAGCTGTGCATTAACTCAACTTCAAACTGTAAAATTAGAGTTAATGTGGTTTTGGATTGTTTACCTTACCATATATATATATATATCTAGAGGAGTGAAATATGAATTTGTAGGTTAATGATTTATGGGAAAACTGATAAATTCAGACTTTTGCCCTGTAATTAATAATGGCATGTTAATTTGACAGTCATTTAATAGGTTATGTATTCTATAACAGATGTTGTTTCTGACAGCTGTGTTGTGGATATTCTGCTGGAGAATTAATTCTGTAGTTTATCTAATATTATCTCTGCTTACACAGACATTATGATATACTGCAGCTAATAAAGTAATCACAGTCTGGCTTTGTTTCACTTTCACACTGAATATCTTATAAACTCAGGTCTTCATAGTGACTGTTATAGTGAAATGTTCATTTCAACATCTGCAATAATGAAATAAAATCAGTGTGACGTCACAGTAGTGATGATTTAGAAGCCCGAAACTGGATTTTCTTTGAATCCTAACCTTTAAAAGCTTTAACAGATCATTCAGCGCTCACAGGTTGTGATTAATGTTGATCTGATGATCCTGCACTCGTGTAATTACTCATCAGAGCAACTCTTCACGAGATCAGGCTGAAAGAACGACGCGCGTCCTGAACATAATTGGCACATTTCTTTATTTTGAAAACGGACGAAACCATTTTCCACGATTTTACTCAGATTCAAACACACTTGAACAGAAAGCCTGGCGCTTTTTCTTTTTGTTGGATTTTCTCGATTTTTAACATCAGTGCAGCAATATCTCCAATGAAACGCTCATAACACCAAGGACAGTAAAAGAAGCCACATGTATTAGTTGGGTGCGTGTGAGAAGGTTCTCGTCTCTGGAGGAAGGATTCTCATGCGATGAGCTCCAGACGGATGGATGAAGAGATCGATCCGCACTGGAAAACTCCCTCCACACAGCAGAACAGAGAGGACAAACATAAAAACAGACCGTCTTCATCATCAAGAGCAGTCTGTCGGTTACTTATGCTTGTACATTTCACTGGTCGATGTTAAACGTTCTCCTCTTCGCCGGCGTCCTCTGCTGGTTTGGAGTCGTCGACAGCCTCTGCAAACACCAGAAGAAACCGCTTTCACTTCCAGACACACTTACAAACCGTCCGCTACAGAAGCACTGCGGCTCGCAGTTTTCTGTCAAGCTTCTAGTTTTATATGCATGTGTATATTGTTGCTAACTCAACTACTCTCTTATAACACCCTCGTAACGCATTCGGGTCTGTTTTGAACCAGAAGAGATGCATACATTTTGTTCCTTTACTAAAAATATGACATTTTTTAGAAATTTTTATAGAGTCCAAAATGACCCGAACACAAAACGTTTGACATTTTGTTTAAAATGTGTTCCTTTACTAAAAACTTTGGGTGATTTTGACCCGGGTATGTATGAGGTATCTAAAATACTTCTTGCCAAATTATCTATGAAGTTATATTAGTGTCAAAAACGGTTGTAAAATATATGTGTCCTTTTCCCCACATCTCACACACTTTTGGTAAATGTTGTTGATAAACGTGAAAATCACTATAAATCTGCTTTTATAGTGGAAAAAAGCTCTTTAGCTTTTGAAAAGACAACTGTTGACTGAAAGCTTCTTTGAAGAACCAAGGAACATCACACTTTTAAAAATAAAGTTTCCAAAAGGGAGTTTTCCCATTGATGCCATATAAGAACCATGTTGGTTCCCAAACCACCTTTGACTGTTCTTTTCCTCAGTGTGAAGAGCATTTTACTAATCTAAAGAACACTTTTTCCACTATAAAGAACCTTTTGTGCAATGGAAGGTTTACATGATTGTTAAAGGTTCTTCATGGAACCATCAATGCACAAAAAAACTGTATTTTTTAGAGTGTACAGCCTTCATGTTCATGATTCACAAGTTGTTTGCTCAGAATAGACGTCTACTCAATGGAGAAAGAGCATGTAGTTAAAAGAAACTAGCAGCAGGGGTTAAACTGATCAAACTAACCAACTGAACCTCTGGTTGATATAGTCTAGTAGGCTTGCTGTTTCAGATGTAGTTTTTTACCCTCCACACACTGATGATTTCAGAGCTCAAACTTTTTTTCGGACGCACCTTTTTTGTCTATTTGGTCGGTTTCCTGGCTCTCGGCGGCAGGCACATCGGCTCGTTTGGCTTCCTCCTCCTTCTGTGCGTTTATGTCGTCAGTGGGGTTCTCCGCCTCCTGCAGCTGCTCCTGCACCTCCTCTTTAGTGGGCGCGTCCGAGGGGGCGGAGTCAGTGGCCGTGGTGGGCGGGGCTTCAGCTGCAGGTGAGTTGGGCTGCTCGGCCGGTTTGCTCTCCTCTGCTGTTTCCATGGAAACCTCGGCAGGTTTCTCCTCCGATGGAGAGACTCGCTCCTCCTTCTCCTCGGCGGACTCGTCCGGAGCGGCGTCGTTCTCCTCGTCTTTCTCCTCGTCCTTCATCTTTTTCCGGGTGATGTGTCCACGGAAGCTGGCCTGGATCTTGGTGGCGGCCTTGTGGGCGTTTTCCTCCGGTTTGGTTCCATCCTGCTTGATCTCCTGATCAGCCTCTTCGTTCTTCTCAACCTGAGACCAGAAACACAAACACCATCAGTAACTCCAACACACTCACCGGAGACGCTCAAGTCAAGTCACCTTTATTTGTATAGCGCTTTATACAATATTGGTTGTGTCAAAGCAGCTTTAGAATGTCAAACAGGAAATAGTTTGTCAATAATGCAAGAAGACAATAACAGTCATTTTCCAGATAAAGTCAGTTCATTGATGATTCAGTGATGTCATCATCCAGTTCAGCTCACTCAGACACACACCGACTTCATAACACTTTTTTTCCATACTGTGGAAGTCAGTGAATTTTCATTTTTGGGTGAATGATCCATTTAAGCTGAAATAGAGTTAACTACTGAAGCCCGTTTAGTTAAGAAGTTAGTTAAGCATTAGTTTTTCTCATAATTCAGAGAATAAAAGTCACAGCTGCAAGATATAAACTCACAATTGTGAGAACAAAGTCAAAAATGTGAGATAAAAAGTCACAGCTACCATTTTTAATCCATGATGGGGGAAAAAATCAATTGTGAGATATCAACTCAGGATTCTGAGAAAAAAAGTCAGAATTGCAAGAAAAAAAAATCTAAATTGAAAGATATGCAAGATGCAAGATGAACTCAAACAAAGCCCGCAAAGCTCACAATCACCTTTTTTATCCGGTGGCAGAGACGGGCTTCCATAGAAGAGTGACCGCTGGAGCTAAGCTTGTGTAGAAACAACATGTTCTGACCAACTGACACACGGATCCAGAGCAACTGATCAGTTCGTTTTATGCATCAGAGGAACAGAAGCAATTATTCACATATTCACAGTGCCACGTTTATCAGACAGCTAGTTTAGGAAACAAGCTTGAGAGAAATGCAGTTTTGCGAGTGCATTGGTTCAGCGCTGGAGGAAGACACGTGTCTGATGCTACAGAGCCCCAGCGTAACTTCCCATCAGGCATCTGGACGTATGATTACAATGCTTTAATTGAATGAGCATTAGAGCATTTTAGACTGCGAGTGATTTTAATAGACGCTGCTACAATCCCACGATTACAAGCGTCTCAGTGCTGAGCGACATGAAGATCTGAGCGTCTCATCTTCACGAACAAGAGCACAAGTGCAAAAGAGTGTGTAGTTTCTAAAAACCTGATTCTTAGGAGGTGAATTGTAATTTTTGAAATGGCCATAATTATCCAGATGGATCTCGACACATTTATCACGTGATCTCAGATGTCTCCGATGGATGAACGCATCTGAGATGCAGGACTGAATCATCGCGTCATGCAGGACCCCACGTTCCCTGCTGAGACGCATCCAGACGTGATTAAAGCCATTAGCGCTGGAGTTCAGGCTGAGGTTACGTCTCTCAGGATCACACACACGTCTGATGTCCGTGTGTTTTCTGCTCTGGACCAACATCAAACATAAACGTTGTCATATCAATAATAAATATCAGCATAGCATGGCAAAGCTAAAAGCAAAGCACCTGTTAGGATAAGAAAGCGTGACATCTGACCGGAGAATCAGGGAGAAAGACTCAATATTTACCTTGTCCATCAGCGTCCAGTGAGGCTTTTGTCCACCGAGGGCCTTTTAATTTAATAGTGAAATGCGTCTAATGAAAAAAGCAATCATAAAATGAGAAAAAAACAATGTGTAAAGTGACATATAATGCATGACAAAAACATTCATAAAACAAAGTCAAAAGTAGCTTGAAGCATATCAAAATTAAAAAGTGTATAAACATAAAAGCAAAATTAAAATCTAGCGAACAGAAGCCAAATTAATGACATAATGCAACATGAAGGCAATTTCATTTGGAAACACTTTTTCATTTATATATGCAATCTGCAAATGGACTGCAGAAAATGATGTCATTTCTGCAAATGCATGAGGATTGATTCTGCTGCGGTTCAGGTGTTTGAGCGGCTGTTTATACGGCATCTGTTTTCTAATATTTTACCACATAACCTGTGGATGCAACTGTACTACAATCAATATCCATCAATAAACGCATCTCACACACACTATCACACATACACACTCACACACACGCACTCACGCACACACACGCACACACACTCACGTGCACACTCACACTCGCACGCGCTCACGCTCACACGCTCACATAGACACTCACGCACACACACTCACACGCACACACTCACACACACGCACTCACTCACGCTCACACACGCACACACACTCACGCGCACACTCACGCGCACACTCACACGCTCACGCACACATAGACACTCACGCGCACACACTCACGCATTCATTCACGCTCACACGCACACGCACACACACTCTCACACATAACACACTCACGCACGCACGCACTTCCCCTGTGTGTGTGTGTGTGTGTGTGATTGAGGTCACTCAGTGCGAGTCATTCTCGTGAGTCACATTCACACCACATATCATGACATTATCAGCTGATCTCTGAGGTGAAGCTCGTTAACGGCTCAATAAACGTTGGAACGAAACTAACAGTAGACTGCAATCTTTTATTTAAAAAAGCAATTAAAAATGGAAAATCCATTTGAACAGAGTTAAAATGATCTTCAGACGTGTTTGATGTGATTCAGTTTTTATGAGAGAATGAACACATTCCACTCTTAATAAATAATATTTCTGGCATCATTTCATATGCTTCATGACAGTAAACACAAGATGTTCCTGCCGTTTAAATGGACACAGTGACCAATCTCTTCATCAGGAAAAAGAGTGTGTGTCCAGTCGAGAAGATTGACAAGATTCACATTATCTGAAGGACTTAATCGAGGCCTGATCATAACTCACATTTATGAGGCCTTGACAGAGCAGCAGGTCGTCACACATCATTCAGTCTGAGCTCCGCTGTGGCCAGGAACGTAACGGGGTTATGGTTGCTGGGTTCAAAGGTCACGCTAAAACAAAAGCCTAAAGGCTTTGAAGTGACCGTCAGCGTCTAAAACAGTGACAACAAGAGAATCAGACAGAAATGAGCGGTTCTCAGATCAACTGGTTGTTCAAATGGAGACGAGCGAGATGTTCACACACAGATTGTGGAGTCATAGGAGCCTGTGGAGGAAATATTTCAGACCACAGCTCATCTGATTGAGGAAGCATTTGTGCATGTTAAATGCATAAAACGTGACTGAATGGAATGCTCTCTCAATAAATAATAATAAGAAATAAAATAACAATAAATAATGTTTAAAAAAAAAGAAAAGAAAAAGAAAATTATGCAGGATACATCAGCACAGAGTCTTGCAGCATTTGTGGAAGGAGCCACACCTTAAGACCACCCGCCCCCATGATTATGCACGCACTGTAGTATCTTAAAGAAGCGATCCAGGACCTCTGGCATGCAGAACCAGCTTTACAGTAAAACTGCATGTAAATTGCATTTAGCACCGCATTTTATTTATTTATTTTTTTTGGTGTGTTTGCATTGTTTTGCATAATTGGTTTAGTGAATGGAGTGCTAAAACAGTGCAGATGGTGAAAATAAACATTGGGTGCAATTCACTGGTGGTGAATTTCCCCCTCTGCGTCAGCCTTTTCATTCTCTTTTATTATTATTTTATTTCCTATCTTTCTCCTACTGCTGTTTTTCATCTCTTCCTTTCAATCTATATTTTACTTTCTCACACACGCACACACACACACACACACACACACACACTAAACCCACGACACACACACACTGGACATCTTCAGGTCGCGATTATAATTCACCTGCACTGACGTACTCTCCTGAATATCCCCGCGCCACTGAAGCGCGCTCAGGTCAATATTAGAACAGGAGAGCTGTGTGTGCGTGTTTCTGCAGGAGCTCGCCGTAAGACAGGACCACACCCTTCATCCTCCTCATGTCTCCCCGTCTGTCTCGGCTCAGACGCTCCGGTGATAGTAACGCTCGCGTCGCGCTCAATGGGGCGTAAGAACAAAAGAGACGCGGCACGCGCGGCTCCACCTGCGGTTTGCGTGAGTAAAGACAGTGAAGATGTTCAACACACGGATTCCTCGGCCTGCTTTCAAAGCGCCTTTACGACATTAAACATCAAACCTCCCATTCACTTTATAAGTCGGTAAAGCCGTTATATTCCGGAGACCCGCCCCGAGAGCAATCAGTGCTTCATCACATCCAACACACACAGCTTCACGACTACGCTCACATTAAACAGCATCAGACTCAAATACACCTGACTGACAGGTACAGCTGCTCAATCATTCTCACAGCGAGAGCCTCCAGCATCCGGTTACAGCGGCAAAAGTGCGAAGAATACAGATATTTACCGGCTTAGTTCTTCTGATACAGCACAGCATAATCGTATCCTTTCAGCGTCTCGCTCTGCTTCTTCCTTTTCTCTTCTCTCTCTCTCTCTCTCTTTCACTCACACACACACACACACACACACACACACACCGGCTGTATCAACAGCTGATGACTCTGATGCTTAAACTCATCACAGTTGAGCCTCAGTCGCACTGTCTGTCTGTCTGTCTGTCTGTGCTGCCAACAATGAGATAAATCCCACCCTATAACCCCCCGTCCCTCCCTCCCTCTCTCACGCCCCGCCCCGCCCTGACCACCCTCTGCATGAATGATTGAATAGAGGCGATCTGTCCGCTGCTGCTGCTTGTGGGTTAGTAGAGCTTTGTGCGGGACTGTGATGCAGGAACGGGCCACATTAAGGCTGCAGTGTACCTCCAGAGCGCCGTTCACATGATAACAGCTCTGAATTGCTCCTCGGGGCCCCTTCTCTCCGGCTGTCGGTGGTTCTTGAGCAGCCGATTCCTCCAGGACTCTTTCGGTCCCCAGCAGAACATCTTCATCAGAGCTGCACGCTGTTCTCGAGACGCTAAAACATCTTCTTCTTGTTCTTCTGCGTCTGTGAAGGTCAACCCACCCACGTGTTCAAACACTGATTCACTTCCCCTCACAACAGCACCTCTGAAACACACACATTTAATGCTATACACCAACAGCTTCACAGAATTAGACAGATAAATAGTGTTGTAAATTCATCAATTATAGAAGAGAGGAAACTCATTAGCAGGGAAATCAATGGCAGAATCAATCAGGTACATCGATGAGGGGCTGCATGAATGATGTCGACTGATTCTCGGTGATTCACGCCTTCGTTTGCTGTCGGTTTAACTGGAAAGCCGTTATCTCTGCATGAGGTCTCCACGTGCATCTAAAGAGACGTCCTGGTCATTTTAGGATCCGTCCCACAAACTGACATCAGTACAAGAGGTCAGAGATGCAGAGGTCACAGGTCAGCATCCTGAATTCAAGATCCTCTAACGAGATGAATAACAACGAGCAGTAAACAGTAAAACTGTTTGCACTACAAACCAGTGTGTTCATAATTAAGATAATACATTAAAATAATATGGTAAGACACACCAATTTGCAATATCAAGCAGCAAAACCAGCTGTTTTGCACAGCTAAAAATAGCTGGAAGCGGATGAAACCGGAAGCCAGACACATCAAATGTATAACCCCCCCCCCGCCCATAAGGTGGATAGCTAAAAACAATAGACAGTTCATCAATTAAAGAGAAGTCTTACAGCCAACAGATCTACTTTATGATGATATAATTACTGATGGATCTCAAGGTGGAACAGGAACAGCTTAGGTTTAGGGTTTGACACTCACAGTCCTGAAAGCTGAGGTTGATCAGAAGGATCTGCGACACGCCGCTGGAGTCATAAAGATGTACTCCACTCGCAGCAGAGCTTAAGTTGTTGGTTCAGATGTGAGATGAAGCTCCTGTGGTTTCCTTCATGAGAGAAGAGCACGGATTAGCCACGTATCAGTCACAAACTGAATAATCCATACTACGTTTTATTCCATAATAAAGATAAATGAAATTTATGCAGCACTGCTTATACAGGCAGCAGCTTGTATGTGAAATGAATACATATGGAAAATGTTAAATACAAAACACACAATAGAGCATATGTGTGTCCTCATGAATATTCATGAGCAGTGTGTGCCATGTGTTATAATAAACACCCTTTCTTTGACATGTGATGAAGATCTCTGTCCTGTCAGGTGTTTCAGCTCAGCGTTGTGTGTGTTTGATGGTGTTTGTGCTACAGGTGTAACAGTGTCTCAGTAATCAGTGCGACGGATCGTGAACGATGCTTTCCTCTGAGACTGCAGTGCATTTGCATTTTGCTGATTCGGATCTTGTGTGTGTGAGAGTGTGTGTATGTGTGTGTGTGTGTGTGTGAGAGAGAGTGTGTTTGTGTGAGAGTGAGAGAGTGTGTGTTTGTTTGTGTGTGTGTGAGTGTGAGTGTGAGTGAGAGAGGGAGCGGATACCTTCAGTCTGCATCAGACACCTTAAACGAACTGCACCTCCACCCCCGATCAGACCGGCAACTGTTGCCAAGGCAACCACACGGAAACAGCATCCTCTGACTCCAGCTGACGGAGAAACTCCATCCATCTCTCCCTCTAGTGTGTGTGTGTGTGAGACAAGACCCCACAGATGCCGCTGATGCTCCGTCTCCATGGCAACAGGCCAGAGCGGATGACTAACACACACACACACACACACTCGTGTGGATGATCAGAGAGGTGCGACTCACACTGGGCTGTAAGATATTTGTCAAAGCATCAAAAAAACCTCCTCACAATGGTTTCACATCCACTAAAGGTCCTGGAGGATCGGGATGCTGGGCAGGAAAAATCAGAACCAATAATGAACCGATCACACTGATAAAAGACATCAGCCCAAGAAAATAAAACCATTAGCAGTTTTCCTTTGATCATCCCCATAATTCATCACGTCATGTGAACGAAAAAAGCAAAAATATGCCAATAAATGATGTGACATGACGACCATCTCAATAAACTCACTTTCCCTCTACACAAAAGATTCAGATCAGGGACTTGTGTGTTTAATTTAAACGCTCTTTATTTATATTTTGTTCATTATACTACAATATATTTGACCTTAATACTTAATACTATAAAAAATTGTGAAAACAGTTAAACCCTGTTTAGCGAGTTACAAACATCCTGCATTCAAAGCTATTATAGAGGATCAACCTGCTGTACAGTGCATGGAAATGAATGAACATGGTCGTATTTCAGCATTAACTGAAAGCTTTCTCGTTAATTAAACAGCTGAAATCAGCAGCGTCACCGTCAGTAATAAAGCCTCCAACAGGAATGGAGAAAATGCCAGAAGAAGCAAACAGCGACAGACTTACAGATGCTCACATTGTTCTATGATGGTTGTTACATGAGACATGGATCAAAGATAATGTTAAAGTTCATAATGTTAAAGTTATATTTCATATTTATCTAAACAAACAGGATCTGTACATCAGAGTAACAACCACACACACATCAGATCTCAGCCAATCAGAACGCTCGAATCTCTCCAGAGAGTGATCATGTGACCGTCTGAGGTGAAGCTGTATGTAGATTCACTGATGTCCAGTCAGCTCCGCTTCAATAGTCATTTAAGCCAGATTACAGTAACAAAGTCCATTAAACAATGTCATAAATTACCAAAATCACCCACTCAAACAGGAAGTCTCATCAGCGCAATGATGTCTGGGGTTTAGTAAACTTTATCCATGCAAAACACACACACACACACACACACACACACACACAGAGGAGTCGTTGGTCTAACACTGTGACTCGGTGAAGGTGTGTTCATGCGGTTTCTCATGCATGTAGTCGTCCTCATATTCAAAGTCCTGAAACAAACACCACAGTCACATTTATTTCTACAAAGCTCTATACAGATCGTCTCAAAGCAGCTTCACAGAAATAGAGAGAAATATAACAGTGTTAATGTTGCAAAATTCATCAATTATGAAACTGCAGAACACAACAGAGCACAAGAGTCAGTTCCAGATGAACAAACTCCATTTATTTTCTCTAAGGAAACTGATTTTTAACAATAACAGATCTTTACAGACAGGCCTGTTGTGAGCACCAAGGATGTTCTCATCTGTTTGCATGAATTTAACTTATTTTTTTAAATAATCATGCTTAATAGCAGAATTCATGGTGAAAAACTACATTTCCCATGATGCTGTACAGAAATATTCCACCAATCAGAGAGTAGCAGTGAACAAAGCAAGAGATATCTAGCTCCGACCCACTAATTAATCAAGTCTCTCTACTCTCTCAAATTCCTTAAATATTTGTGTATACATGCCTACTCGGCAATTAACTTAAAATATAATGTTTCTATAGATACAACCAACAATTTAAATGTAATAGTTTAGTCATTTTTATTTCAAGTCTAATTCGCAATGCTTCATGGGATTGTAGTTCTTTCCCTCACCAAAGCTATTAAGCTCACAATCTTTGTCTTTTTGTTTGATTTCCATTTACTTTTTGCTTCAAATCAAAGTTTGTAATGTTGTGATTCTCCTCGTGTCTGATTGGTTTGGTTCATGGCTCACAACGCTTTTACGAAGACTTTTTAAAAATCCTTATGGGAACAATACTTCTGGAAACAGCGCTGCTGAAAACATTGGCAGCATTAATGCACTCTATAGTGTCATAATTCAGTTCAGTGTTGATTCAGATCAGTTCAATAACAGTGTCAGTGTTGCAAAGTTCATCAGTTATGAACACATCAGTTTTTAAGTCTGAATAAACACTACAATCCAACAAACACAGACACGTTTATCATCTAAATATCTCGTCCACACTACAGAGGGTCGTTCACCTTAAAGTAGCAGCAGCACGGGGTGTGTTTCTGTTGCGTCTGGCCATAGAAACGCTCATCACTGTGAACAGATGCAGTCATTACTCACATATAACACCACTCTGAACCGCTGGTTTCATCAGTTTCTTACCCAGAGGCCTCCTCGATGGACGAGTGATGGGCCGCGGGACTCTTCTCTGACACGGACCAGCACGGACACAGGATTCGACCCAGCAGCACCAGCGTGATGATTCCTGACGGCACCAGAACAAACACCAGCAACACGCCGACATCCGTGAACGCCAGCGAGCGTCCTGACGGAAACACAGACGGCACACGCTCAACATGCAGTAAAACAAGATTATACTGTGTCCGGGTGAATCTCAGGAGGAGTGTCCAGGTCATATTTCATTTCCCCCTATTAAAAATAAAACCAGAATTAAAAAAAAAAAGCCTACTTTTTATTTTTGG